AATTTTCGATCTTTTGAGTAAATATGGTTTCAAATTAAGAAAATGGGCATCGAACCATAGGAGTCTAGTTGATGACAGCACTAATAACTATGATTATCACATTACGGACAAAACCGATGTGCGAAAGACTCTTGGTTTAATATGGCAAGCAAATAATGATTTTTTAAGCTTTGTTGTAAACGATTTCGAATTTGATAATAAAAAAGCGTCAAAAAGACTTATATTTTCAGCCATATCAAAAATTTATGACCCTCTCGGTCTGTTAGCACCTGTTACAATAAGGGCTAAAATAATGATGCAAAGACTGTGGGAAATTAAATTAGGCTGGGACGATAAGTTACCCAATCATATACTTAGCTCCTGGAATCAATTCACTAGTAATTTATCCTGCATAAATGACATAAATATTCCTCGCCATGTATTGTTGAGAAACTACTCCCAAATTGAAATACACGGCTTCTCCGATGCTTCGGAACAAGCATATGCAGCTTGCATTTATTTAAAGTCGGTAGATTCAGAGGGAGGAACGAGCGTCAATTTATTATGCTCCAAAACGCGTGTCGCGCCTTTGAAAACGATATCGGTTCCGCGCCTTGAATTATGTGGTGCCCTTCTTTTGGCACAGCTGTATAACACTGTGAAAAATTCTGTGAAATTTCATATAAACCATGTGGTTTTGTGGTCTGACAGCCAGATAGTACTTTCTTGGCTCGCATCTACGCCTGGAACATGGAAAATATTCGTCGCGAATCGCGTTTCCGAAATCCAGACATTAACACAAAACGCAGAATGGCGCTATGTTCCGACGGAAGATAACTGTGCCGACGTTGCAACAAAAGGTATTGATCCTGCTGATTTAGGAAATTTCGAGCTCTGGTGGAATGGCCCTCAGTGGCTTGCCAAGGATCAAAGCTGCTGGCCCAAAGCAAACAATTGTTTTATAGAAAATGCGAACATTGAAAGACGTGCACTACAAGTTTCTCTTTCCAGTATTATTTCTGATTTTGACATTTTTGAGCTATACTCATCTTGGTATAAATTGCGTCGTGTTGTAGCTCTTTGCCTAAGATTTATTAATCTGAGTCGTAAAAAGATAACGAAACCTGTAGGAGATCTTTCTCCAGAAGAATTTGATAATTCTGCGAAAGTATTATTGAGACTAGCTCAAAAACAAACTTTTCATTCTGAAGTATCATCTTTGCAACAGCATAAACTATTAAGTAAAGACTCTCGACTCAAAAACCTAAATCCTTTTTTAGATAATCAAGGTTTGTTGAGGGTGGGAGGACGTTTGTCTAACTCTTCTTTGAACTTTGACTCTAAACACCCAGTAATATTGGCGCCTAAGCATCCCTTAACAAAGATGATCATTCGTGATGAGCACCACAAGCAGTTACATGCTGGACCACAAACCTTGCTAGGTATATTGCGCGAAAAATTTTGGGTACTCAATGGCAAGCCAACAGTTTGCAGTATTTTGCGAAAATGCATAACATGTTTCAGGATTAATCCTAGGACACTTGTTAGAAAAATGTCTGACCTTCCGATGGACAGAGTAACTCAAAATCGAGCATTTCTTATTTCAGGTTGCGACTTTGCTGGGCCTTTTAATATGAAGGACGGTAAACTACGAAATAGAGCTATCGTAAAAGCCTATCTCTGTGTTTTCATATGTTTTACCACAAAAGCTGTGCATTTGGAAGTTGTCAGCGACTTAAGTACAAAGTCATTTCTGAACGCATTGAAACGCTTTTTCTCTCGTCGTGGCATTTGTAAATGTATGTACAGTGACAATGGAAAGAACTTTGTTGGTACTAGCAATGAATTAAAGCGTTTATATTTATCTCTGGATACTGTTCTCGAGGATCGTGAGACGATCGATTTTTTTCTTGAAAATTCCATTGAATGGAAACACATTCCACCATACTCCCCTCATCGAGGCGGACTTTGGGAAGCCGCAGTTAAGCGAGTCAAATTTCATCTCAAACGAATTGTTGGCAAGCTGACTCTAACGTACGAAGATCTTGCGACGATCTTTGCCCAAATAGAAGCAATCATGAATTCCCGTCCCCTCCTTCCCTTATCCTCTGATCCGTCTGATTTTTCTGCGCTAACCCCCGGTCATTTTTTGGTCGGTCATTCGCTCACGACCATTCCTCAAACAGACTTCTCGTCAACTCCTACAAATCGATTGAAGCAGTATGAATTACTCCAGCAAGCAGTTTCTATGTTCTGGAACAAATGGAGTAGAGAGTATTTGCAAACTTTGCAGAGAAGAACCAAATGGCAAACCAATTCGTCAGATGAAGTCAAAGAAGGAAGTCTCGTAGTAATTATTGATGATAATTCACCTCCACTCTATTGGCGCATGGGAAGAATCATTCAGCTACACAAAGGCAGCGATGGGACAGTCAGAACTGCCACTCTAAGAACGCAGTCTGGAGAAGTTACTCGTGCATTGCAAAAACTTTGTATACTGCCAATTGACTCTTGTGATTTATAAAAACTGTTTTAGTTAAAAGACTTTACTCTTTCAAGGTGGGCGGCATGTCGCGATCGTGTAAATCGCGCTTTATGTGCCGTATGGCACTGCCACATTTTGTGTCTTTTTTTAACGCCCGACCCACAGAACCCAGCTGACAGAATCAACGAGCAATAAGCAGAGCCCGTTTTCGCCACTACTTTACAACTTTGTTTTTGCCAAAAAACTCACCATTTTTGCTAAAAAGTTAATAAGATATTTTTGTAATCAATATCAGTACATTGTAAAAGTTCAGTAAAAAGAGTTGACCTATAAAAATACAGTCCACATCGACGATTTCTGTTTTATTTGTTGCATGAGCGACGTAAATGGAATCATAACCTCAACGTTTGAACAGGAACGTACCTTTCTACTTCCAAAAAATTTGTAACTTGTTTAGATTCATTATTATTTTTCTATGCCTAATAGATATTTCAAACCATACTATATAAAATAGTATATTGTGTATTTAGGTGGAAAAGTGACACATTCTCGGCCGACGGTATGTAAGTTGACGGGCCAGGCGTAGCCGAGGCCGGCAAACACCGAATGCCGAGAATGTGCTTTTCTTCCGAAATACACATACTATTTTTTCTGCGATCGGTTCAATACCTGTTAAATGTTTGTCTTTTTGTTCCAATTATTCAGCAGTACCAGAATCACTTTCCCGGCCTAGGCCCGAAAAGTGTTTTCTGTATTGTTATTCATTGATTCCTTAGCAACTATTGAAACATAATTGAAATACCAGAATAATGAGTTTTGCGACCTGTCAACCGGTCAAAAATGCTGACATTTTTTGTCAATCGCAGAAAAACTATATTTTTCTACGAGCGTGTGCAAAATAGGTACTTTGCACACGCGGTTGGTAGCGCAAAATTTACTTTTGCGCACTAGTGCGGACAAGAGTTAATTTTGCGCACTAGTGCTGACAAGATTTAATTTTGACAAAGTACCAGGAAAAATATTCATGTACCCTTGAACTCGCCCTTGAAGGTCTGTTTTTATATAGAAATCACTAACCAGTCAGAGCGTTTTTGATTGGTGCAAATCGCCAACAACCAGTTTTCTGACTATTTTTAACGAATGAAATTCGCTCTGATTGGTTTGTGATTTCTGTGGAAACAGGCCTTATGATTGAATGAAATTTGCCGTCAGTGTTTATAGGTCTGTCACGTCAGTGTTGTCAAACAATAGTTATTTATTATACAAGACGGTAAAAAGATGCTTTACCTGTGAGTGGAAAATATTGATTCACGAGCGACGAAGGAGCGAGTGGATTAATTCCACGAACAGGTAAAGCTTTTTTACCATCGTGTGTAATATTCTATTTTATTCTTGAGCAACTTTTATTTTATCACAATTACTAAAATCATAAACTTAAATGTGCTAAAATTTTCCATAGATTATGACAAGTTGACAAAGTACCTAACAAACTGACACATTTCTGGTGTTGTCAATCATGCAACATAACAGATTTCTGTCAAAAACACCATAATTATTATAAAAGATTTGAACAAGGGTAAAATTGACGTATGAGTGGGTAAAATTGACGTATGAGTGGGTAAAATTGACAAATGAGTGGGTAAAAATTGTTCGATTTCACTACTTCAAATAAAGTGTTACTTTAACAACGAGTTTTCAGTCGATTAAATGATAGTTTACCATTCACGATAGAATAAATTAATTTTATTTGCAATCATATATGTAATCTTGTCATTACTGACTTTTTAAAAATTTCGAAGTGACACTTTACTTGTGTCACTTCCCTCTTCGATTTCCCTCACCGATTTCCCTATTCGACTTCCCTCACCGATTTCCCTCCCTCCAATTTATTTACCTTTGCTGGCAACAATGAGAACATGTCAGGTAAAAACGTCAAAACAGGTGAATGACATATTTTGGCATGTTTGTTTTATTTTTTTAATATTAAAAAAATTGAATGACTAATCATAATTAATGGTGTGCTTGCGAATAAAATAGTATACAAACCTCGAAGGAAAGTTTTCATTCCCTACTCGGTATGTAATATACTATTATCATCTTTTCTTTAGTCATTATTTTAACTACATCGTGAACCTAAGCTTAGATACTCGCAAAAAAATGGGAAACATTGCAGCAGAAGAGAACGAGGAAATACAACATATTTTAGATAGAGCCGGCAGTGCCTGCAATACTCTGATACCCCAAAGGTCGTCCGAAAAATCTCTCAATATCGTTCACAATAATCAAATGAGATAATTAGTTTTTGGTTGTTTTTGAGTGCGACTGCTGCTTTTTGAGTTCGACTGCTGCCCGAACTCCGCTCCGCGTCGTTCGGTCAACTGCAGTCAGCGTGCGAATAATACTTACTTTGCGCACTTGTTAGGAAATATACTATTTATGAACAATTCCTAGCCTCGAAATCCATAAAGATGTGTGTTACTCCACTTGTACTCTAGACTAGTCTAGACATCAAAAACTTATAGAACTGTAATGAGGAAAAAGATATTATATTTCAAATATACATTAATACATTTTCAACAAAATTTAGAAATATATGGGATTAAAATCCCATTTTGTTTGCAACCTTCTTGACCATTTTCCTTGCTTTACTACCATTCAACAGCCGTATACTAAAAATTAGCTTTCTCCGTTTTGCATGAAATTCTCTCAAATCATCTTCAACATTTTGCATTTCCACAAACTCCAACCTGGTCAACTCTTCCATGGTTTTTTCAAACTTGGAAGCTTCGGGAGATCGCAAGCTGACATTTTCAGTTGCAGACTTACTTCGCATGCTGGAATGTTCAGTAAGCGTCCTATCTGCACTACCAGGAGACAGGGTTCGATCGAGATTGAAATCATTGTTGTTAGGAGTTCTACTTAAACCGGGCACGGTACGTGGCATACGCGGAGGAGTTTGGGGCCTGGGAGCTGCTGTTGAGCAAAACGGTAATGCTCGATCAACTCGCGGTGGTGAAAGCCTGCTCAAGCTGCTGACTCCCATACGTGGTCTTCTTCTGGTTGCTGGACAACTGGAATAATCCATGGTTGAAGAAATGTAGCTACTGAAATTTTGAGTTTATGTGCCAAATTTTGAATCACTCACTGGTGACAGATTTATAGGTTAACAGAAATATACAAAACTCACCGAAAAAATACCATAAATTTCCTTGAATGGGTATCGAAAACCCCTTGTGATCAGAGTTTTAGCTTGTAAAAAAGGGTGGGTAATGAGATGTTTGATGTTAATGTTCTTTAGCTATGACTCGCGTAATCTTATACTAATGACGAATAATGACGACCTGACTGAAGAGACAGGGTCTTTTATATTTTAAAACATGTTGATCTTGCTATTTCTATGGAAGCGTTGCGACGATGGAGCAGTTCTTGGCGTGAAATGTTCAGACATGACAACTTGCTGAAGTAGCGTCTAGACTTTGCGATACTTTGTCCGACCGTGGTGATGAGACGCGTCTGGAGGTCATTGTAGTCGTGAAATCCATATAACAGCTTCCCCATTAAGAAAAAAGTTGGTGCTCTGCAGCAATTTTTAAAAACTAGCTGGGTTATTGTGTAGACTGGTCATCTCTCGTTCTGAGGGTAGATTTAGATGAACGGTGTTTCTTCGTTTCGGTAAAAGCTTTCTAAGGTGGTTGCCTGTTTGAAGACGTGAATGAGACTTCGGCGGTTGTGGTTCGTCTTCGTCGATAGGGCTTGGTTTGGGAGATGCCTTTCGCCGACGCTTACAACAAATGTAAATGATTACAAGGGCTTCTATTAGTACGATGATGAAGGAGGTGAACCATTTTTGATACGAATGGTTCTGGGATTAGTTTATCCAGTTCATCGGAAAATTGGTTTAGTCTATGCTGGGTCAAATTTAGATCATCGATGTTGATTTTATATAGTTTAAGAGGTTTCAACTCTGGCACATGAAGATTTACCGGAAGGTGTTTGCAGCAGTCATAGGGAATTTCCACTGGATGACTTTTATATGTGACGTTTCTGTATTTTTAAGCTAGATGTCTAGCATGAATTCTGGAGTTTCCTACAAAGGCATTGCATGTTAGTTGGAGCTTGAGCTGTGTTGGTGTTGATTGTTTTTGTCACACTGTTTTTGCCATCACATCTGATAATTATTGGAAGGGACGATGATAATGTTATGAGCCAGTAATTTATGTCTCTAGGAGTTATAATTGGGGTATGTAAGATCTTTAAACGTGTAAACGTTATTGCTTCTAGAATGTCATTAAGCTTTTCATTAATGATTCACAGAGGTTTAGAGTTCTGGTTTGGGCTTCGTAAAACTTCAAATCGTTCGAAATGTCAGATATGAATTCTCTGATTTCTGCTTTATCGATGTTGAATGTTTCTTCATCCATTTGGAGTTCCTGAATAGTAGAATTAATTTTTTTAATTACTGAGGTGGTTACCAGACATTTGGTTTTAAGTAAACTTTCAAGTTCTCGTTCGTCTGTATTAATTTTGTCAATACATTTAATGAAGTATTCATTGTCGGTAGAGTCTAAGTTTCCGGTGATTGATTTAAAGCTACTTCCTATTCCGTTAATTAGTCCACGTTTGTTTCTGTATAGACAGGATAGTTTTTATTTTTCCTCTTCGTCTATTATAGCCAATGGCAACAAAACCGTTGAATGCCACACCTGAACATGAGGATTTATCCATAGGGCTAATTTCTTGTAAGAACAATTCTTCGAAAGACCACTTGGCCTATAGCCAAGAAAGGAGTAGGAAAAAAAAACACTTACACTTATTCACTAATAGTAATAACTTTAATAATAATAAATTTTGTACAAACTTTGCAATTCACAAAAAGGACAAATGTCAGAAAATCAGTGATTGCAAAGAAAACCACACTCTACTTGTCTTGTAGAGACCAGAACAAACTTGTCGCTAGAGCAGGCACTTGATTGAAGACTTCAAAGAGAAATATATCTAATATAGAAGTCAGAGAACTATAAGAATGTTAGTAAAAGCCTGGAATAACTCTCCAAAGGCTTAACCAAGGGATTAGCACTCAGACTCGAGACTGTGCATTTAGAGTTCTGCAAGCGGCAACAACCCTCCTCGATCAATGAAATGGTACTGTCCGCCCTTACTGGCATCTGCTTTTCTCTGCTTATGTGAAGATAAAGGTTGCAACATCATGCCAAAGTGTGATTTTAACAGGTTCTAACTTGTATTATTATCAATCGAGATAGGGCATCAGCATTCTTATTGATTTCCCCAGGTTTATACTCGTTTCGATAGTCGTATTCTTCGAGTTTCAAACGCCAGCGAGCTAAACCACTTCCATGGTCTTTAATTGAGAAAAACCAAGTGTGTCTGTGATAAGGACAAATTTTCGACCAAAGAGATAAGGTCTAAAATGTTCAAATGCCCATACAATGGCCAGTAATTCTCTCTCTATGGTAGAGTATTTAGTTTCGGCATTGCACAGCGTTCGAGAGGCATAGGCTATAGGGAGATCTTTTCCTATAGGGCCTTGTGACAAGACTGCACCGATGGCAGAAGCGCTTGCGTCGGTGGTTAATAGAAATGTCTCTCCGAAATTGGGATAGATCAGATAGGTCAGAAACTAGTGCGTTTCTTAATTCGTTGAATGCGGATATGCATTCGGGATTAAAGTGAAATGGAACATATTTCTGGAGGAGTCTTGTCAAGGGCTTTGATGTTTTAGCAAAATTAGGGATAAATCGATGATAATATCTTGCTAATCAGAAAGGATTTATTATCTTTTGGATTTTTGGGTGTGGGGAAGTGATAAGGTATCCCAGGTAAGCTACTTCTTTTCGAAGAAACTCACATTTGTCCGGTCGGATTTTTAAGTTAGCTTTACCAAGGCGTTTAAATATTTCGGTTAGCCTTGAAATATGTTCGTGGATGGTAGGAGAGTAAACGATAATATCGTCCATGTAGACTAAGCGTCTTTCGTTTTGAATGCTGAGGAGAATATTGCCCATGACTCTTTGGAATGTTGACGGGGCATTTTTCAATCCAAAGAGCATACATACGAATTCGTAATGGCCAGTTTCTATGGAAAAACATCCTTGGGTCTACTTCTATTTGGTAAAAACCTGAGGCTAGGTCAAGGGTGGTAAAATATCGATATTTTCCCAATTGATCCGGAAGATCGGAAATATTAGGCAGCGGTTATTTGTCGTCTACAGTAATTCCGTTGACTTTACGGTAGTCGATTACGACGCGCCATTTGGGTTTGCCAGAAGCATCAAGTTTCTTAGGAACGACCCAGATGGGAGATGACCATGTATATACGGAATGGCGAATTAGGCCTTGGTCTAGCATTTTGGTAACTTGGGATTCGACTTCTTCTTTGTGGATTTGGGGGTACCTATAAGATTTGGTATACACAGGCTTTGTATTACTGGAGTCAATAGGGTGTTTAATATCACTAGTAAATGTGAGCGTGTCACCTTCCAGGGACCTTATTCTCGAAACAGGGGAGCACCGTTCTCATGAGAACGAAGGTTCTGTCTTCGTCGTCCGTATGATGATAGAGCAATCGTTCTCATGAGAACGCTGTTCCTCGATTTCGAGAATAAAGTCCCAGGTAAAAAATGTCGGAAAAGTTCAGGTCGGGGATTCTAAAATCACGATTCGACACACGACTCGACAACGATACCGGCCTTGTCGTGTCGAAAGCTATAATTCCAATGAGATTTCTAACCTAGAATCGTCGGAAAAATCGTCTCGTTGTCGAATCGTATGTCGAATCGTGATTTTAGAATCCCCGACCTGAACTTTTCCGACATTTTTTACCTGGGACTTTATTCTCGAAATCGAGGAACAGCGTTCTCATGAGAACGATTGCTCTATCATCATACGGACGACGAAGACAGAACCTTCGTTCTCATGAGAACGGTGCTCCCCTGTTTCGAGAATAAGGTCCCTGGAAGGTGACACGCTCACATTTACTAGTGATATTAAACACCCTATTGACTCCAGTAATACAAAGCCTGTGTATACCAAATCTTATAGGTACCCCCCAAATCCACAAAGAAGAAGTCGAATCCCAAGTTACCAAAATGCTAGACCAAGGCCTAATTCGCCATTCCGTATATACATGGTCATCTCCCATCTGGGTCGTTCCTAAGAAACTTGATGCTTCTGGCAAACCCAAATGGCGCGTCGTAATCGACTACCGTAAAGTCAACGGAATTACTGTAGACGACAAATAACCGCTGCCTAATATTTCCGATCTTCCGGATCAATTGGGAAAATATCGATATTTTACCACCCTTGACCTAGCCTCAGGTTTTTACCAAATAGAAGTAGACCCAAGGATGTTTTTCCATAGAAACTGGCCATTACGAATTCGTATGTATGCTCTTTGGATTGAAAAATGCCCCGTCAACATTCCAAAGAGTCATGGGCAATATTCTCCTCAGCATTCAAAACGAAAGACGCTTAGTCTACATGGACGATATTATCGTTTACTCTCCTACCATCCACGAACATATTTCAAGGCTAACCGAAATATTTAAACGCCTTGGTAAAGCTAACTTAAAAATCCGACCGGACAAATGTGAGTTTCTTCGAAAAGAAGTAGCTTACCTGGGATACCTTATCACTTCCCCACACCCAAAAATCCAAAAGATAATAAATCCTTTCTGATTAGCAAGATATTATCATCGATTTATCCCTAATTTTGCTAAAACATCAAAGCCCTTGACAAGACTCCTCCAGAAATATGTTCCATTTCACTTTAATCCCGAATGCATATCCGCATTCAACGAATTAAGAAACGCACTAGTTTCTGACCTATCTGATCTATCCCAATTTCGGAGAGACATTTCTATTAACCACCGACGCAAGCGCTTCTGCCATCGGTGCAGTCTTGTCACAAGGCCCTATAGGAAAAGATCTCCCTATAGCCTATGCCTCTCGAACGCTGTGCAATGCCGAAACTAAATACTCTACCATAGAGAGAGAATTACTGGCCATTGTATGGGCATTTGAACATTTTAGACCTTATCTCTTTGGTCGAAAATTTGTCCTTATCACAGACACACTTGGTTTTTCTCAATTAAAGACCATGGAAGTGGTTTAGCTCGCTGGCGTTTGAA